CTTAAATAAGCAGAACAACTATTTAACTCTCCAGGTGTACTCATAAGTTCCACATGCAGAAGTTCCTCTCATATCCTTTAAAAGTTTTTTTGATATCTTGTTTCTACATCACCTTTAGTTCCAAATGCATTCTTCTCCCTTCCCTTACCCATTATGCCACTTCTTATTTCAAAATATAAAGAAGAAAGAAGAAAAAATATTCATCAAAACCAATCAACATCAATCGGATCTGATAGTAAATGCAATGTTCCATTCCCATAGACCCCCACTTCTGTTTTGTTCTTGTTTTTTAGGAAATTGGGGTTAAGTGACTTGTCCAGGGTCACACAGCTAGTAAGTGTCAAGTGTTTGGTCTGAGGCCGGATTTGAACTCAGGTCCTACTAACTTCATGGCCGGTGCTCTATCCACTGCGCTAGTCCCCCACTTCTGCAGAGAAGAAAGGGAGGGGTATTTGCTCACCTCTTCTTTGAGCGAAGCATGGCACGGTGGAAAGTGTGCTGCATTTTGAGCCAGTGGAATTGAGTTTGTATCCTGGCTCTGAATGACCTTGGGCAAGTCACTTCCCTTTGCTGGTCCTCAGTTTCTTAACTTGTAAACTGAGAGACTGTACTAGATGATCTTGAAGGGTCCTTATCTGTGATCCTAAGACAAGCTTTGTAATTATAATTATGTAGCATTCAATTTGGACTTCTGTTCTGATTCTTTCTTTTACCTTGGTGTAATCACTGTGTGTTAGTCTATGTACTCATCCTATGTTTCTTTCCATTCTTCATATTCCTAATTTCTTACAGCTAAGTGATCCAATCACATTCATGCACCACAATTTGTTAAGCCATTCCTCAATGGATGATCATCTCTTTTATTTTCAATCCTTTGCAATTACAAAAAGGACTCCCACAAACATTTTGACTTTCTTTGGATATATGCTTAGCAGTGGGATCTCTAGGTCAAAAGGTATGGACGTTTTAGTTACTTCCTTTGAATAATTCTAAATTTTCTCCTCCTTCAGGAAGCCTTCGTAGATTTTGTCCCTGCCCCCCATTGGCTCCCAACTCTAAATGTTCTTTTCCTCTCTGCAATTTTCTTAGCGTACTTTGTCTGGATCTCCCCTTTGTTCTTTTCACAACCTCCACGGAATCATGCTCATATGTGTCCATGTTAGAGTTCCACCATAAAAGCATAAGCTCTGTGAAGGCAGGGGCTATGTTGTTTTTCATCTTTCATCTTTGATTCCCAATGCTTAGTAATATCAGGTGCTTATTAAATGCAGCTAGCTGGCACCATGGGAAGAATGCCAGGCCTGGTGTTGGGAAGACTCGTCTTCCTAAGTTCAAATTTGGCCTCAGCCACTTACTAGCTGTGGGACCCTGGGCAAGTGACTTAGCCCTGTTTGCCTCAATTTCCTCATCTGCAAAATGAGCTGGAGAAGGAAATGGCAAAACACTCCAGTATCTCTGCCAAGAAACCCCAAATGGGGTAAAAAGAAGCATTGGATATGACTGAAACAACTCAAGAATAATAGCATTACATGCTTGTTGAATCTAATCGAATCATCTTCTGAGCAAGAAGATGTTGCCACATCAACTATAAAGTGTGTGAGTTGGGTGGAGGAGAAGGCAGAGCATTACAGGTAGGAGGAGTTACACCAATGCAGGTGTGGGAACTGACCAACCCGGCAAAGAAGACATCTGAGCTAAAAGAGAGGAGATCGCAACAAGAAAGGTGAGGGAAAGGACTATTTCAGAGGGCATTGCACGGTGTGCCTGAAGGCCTGAGAGGGACGGACTAACCTGTGAACATGCCCCTTTTTGTGGACTGACAAGGATGAATAGCAGCCTGGGTTGCTGGTTATCCTCCTTCTTGGCCCAAGAGGAGAAGCATCAATCCGAAACTTGGATACATGCCCCCCAACAACTTCTTTGTTTTGTTTTTTGTTTTTTGGCTAGGCAATTGGAGTTAAGTGACTTGCCCAGGGTCACACAGCTAGTGAGTGTTATGTGTCTGAGGCCAGATTTGAACTCAGGTGCTCCTGACTCCAGGATGGGTGCTCTATCCACTGTGCCACCTAGCTGCCCCTCCCCTCAACAACTTTGTGAGATGGTTAGTATCACCACTTTTCAGGTGAAAAAACTGAATCTCAGAGAGGCCAAGTGATTTCCCAGAGATCCTATATCTCAGAAGTGACAGAGCCACGTCTTGAATCCAGGTCCCCTAATCCCATTACCCTTCAAAGCAAAAGCTGACTCTCCATGTGTTCAGAAGGACAGATAATTTCTTGTTTCCAGTGTGTGTGTGGGGGGGAGATGTACCTGCTTCCCAATCAGCCTTCTTCTATGTCTGTCTTCTGCTCTTATCTCACTCCCATGTTCTGAATTAATGGTCTTATTTATTTCTGACACCTTGAACCAGGTGGGAAAACAGTAATTGATGGGTGTTTATTCTTTCTGCCACATGCACCCTCTGTCCTCACCATCTGGCTTCCTCCCCTCTCCCATGCTAGCAAAGACAAGTCCAAAGTGTTATAGCTTGATCATAGGGTCAAAATCCAGAGCTGAAAGGGACTCTAGAGTCCTCCTAGTCCAATACACTTATTTTACAGATGAAGAAACTGAGGCCCGAGAAGTTCAGCGATTTGCCCAAGGAGACACAGGTAGTAAGCACTAAAACCAAGATTCTGCAACTCCCAAGTCAGGTCCCCTCTACACTGTACCTAGGATACTATCCCTTCTTCTCAATGTTATATTACAAATCTTGCTACGAAATCAATAAAACCTCAATGAATGAATGGGGAAGTCAATCAGTGGAGAGGAGACAGGGAGTGAAGCCAATGCCCAGCTGAGTGCTACTCACTTCTTATTAGGAAGACAAATCTCCCAGTGTAGGAGATGAGGAATAAGGAGAGGCTATAGGGTATTTGTTTGGAAGATATCATAAGGAGGAAAAAAAAAAAGGTCGGGAATGGGGGAAGGAGACCACTCAGGAAAATCACTCATCTCCTCCCTCTCTGAGCCACTGTCAATCTGAACCCAAATTTAGCCTTTGGGATGGGTTAGACTGAATGAATAGACTCGTCCAGCTGCAAAGGCTCTTCGGGGGCCATCTTCCACAGAGCTGAGATCTGCTGTGCTTGACAAATTGGGAGTTGGCAGGGAGGACCTCTTGTTTTAAAAGACCTCCACAGAGATCATTTAGTCTCCCTCCTTCCAGCCATCCTCTCTACTAGCTGAAATTTTAAGCTAGGTCCTGACCAGTGTAAATAATGAATCTCATGGTCATATGTATTTGAATTCTCACTATTCAAAGTTATAATTATATAAAATATGGTCACTGGTCCCAGCCCAATGGAAGTAGGAAGCGCAAATTCAAATAATGTGAACGCTCCACAGGCTTCTTTATCACCACTGATTGGGACCTAGCTATAATGAATGTGCATAGAATAATCTAAATGTAGCTCCATTTCTCTTGAGTGACCCTTCACAAATCTCACTCACCTCAGAAGACAGTGGCTCACACAGGGTGCTTCCCATGGAATACACTTAGGATATGTCTTCATCAATGCAAACACATTTTACTAAGAAAGTGACTAAAATGTCCATACTTTTTAACAGAAAGATCCCAATGCTAGGTATGTATCTCAGGGCAGGCCAAAATAAGAAATAAAGGTCCCATACACTCCAAATTTTAATTTTTTTCATGGTAGTGAAGAACTGGAAACAAAATAAATACCCATTAATTATGATATGACTAAGGAAATTGTGGTCTGTGACTATACAGTCTGCACCAGTGGAAATGATAGAACTGAAGAATTCAGAGACTCATAGGGATACTTACATGAACTAATGAAGAATGAAATAAGCAGAACCAGGAAAACAATCTGCACAGTGACCATGTACAGTAACGTAAATGGAAACCACAATAACAATGACAACAAAATGAAACTGAAGACTTTTTGAGGATCAGACTTTTCCCTGAACAAGAAAGGAAAAAATATAGCTGCTTCCCTTCTTTCTAGAATAGGGGTACTGTGGGTGTGGAAAATTATATAGCCCATCAGACTTCACTGATGCATTGGTTAGCACTACCGAATTGCTTTTGTCCCTCTTTCCTTCCTTCCCTCCCTCTCTCCCTCCTTCCCTTCCTCCTCCTTCTTCCTAGTCCAATACCCTTATTTTACACCTTTCTTCCTTCCTTCTTCCCTCCTTCCTTCCTGTCTTCCTTCTTTCCTTTCTCCTTCCCTCCTTCCTTCCCTCCCTCCCTTCTTCCTCCTCCTCCTTTCTTCCCTTCTTTCCTTCCTTTCTTCTTTCCTTCCTTCCCTCCCTCCTCCTCCCTCCCTCCCTCCCTTCCTTCCTTCCTTCCTTCTTCCTTCCTTCCTTCCTTCCTTCCTTCCTTCCTTCCTTCCTTCCTTCCTTCCTTCCTTCCTTCCTTCCTTCCTTCCTTCCTTCCTTCCTTCCCTCCCTCCTTGAAACAAGAGGTGGAGCACTAGATAAGGGAGAGGGGAGAGATATATTAAAATGAAGGTAGTATATAAACAAAAGAGTATAAATACAGATTAAAATTAACAACAACAACAAAAGGAATGTGTTTATGTGTCTGCTAGGATGGGGGGTAGTATGCAGGGGAAGGAGAAGGGGAAGTGTACTCTGGGAACTCATCCCTAATAATCCCAGGTAATTTGCCCACGTGGTCTAGCCTCTAAAAGGACTAAAAAGTGAAACGTTTTCAGTGACCTGACAGCCAATTGAAGTTGGGTAGGCATCCCCTTGGGGGAAGGATTTGATTCTATTCAAGAAAGTTGAGCGGTAGTGGTTTGGGGGCCTTTAAAGGGAGGGCTAGGGATGGGTACAGGGCTAAAGAATCAATTCCCCAAAGATCATGGGAATAAGAACTCCCAAGCCCAAGTCAGTTTTTTCAGCCTCTGCCTCTGAGAGGTTAATGAACAGTTTCCGTTCCCCCATTTCTATTTCATCCTGCTTTAGTGGAAAGGGCAGTCAGCACTCACCTGACACAAAGGCCACTTTTTCCTTCAGGATAGGGAGGACATCAGCAGCTTTCAAACCATCATTTCGAAAAGAACCTGCAGAACATGGAAGTCAGTGAGTCAGAGTCAAATAGAGAAGGGGCCCAAACCTCAGCCCCAACCATGTCTCAGCCCCTCCTCACCCCCACCCGATCCTGCTGAGGAGAGAAGTGCCAGACCAGAGTCCAAACAAACTGAGCATTTATTAAGTGTCTACCAGATGGAAGGCATGGTGGTGCACACTAAGGTTTCAGAGACAAAGGGGAAAGACACCCCCCCCTCAGGAAGCTTACTTCTCCCCTATAGATATAGCAGATAAATAGATAAGCACATGGATGAGAATTGGAGGCAAAGGGAGGAATACTGGTAAGCAGAGGAGCTAGAAAGGCTTCCTGTGGAATTGACACCTAAGTTGAGTCTTGAAAGGAAGCAAGGAAGCGCAGGGTAGAGAAGGGGCACAAGGGCCTGAGACAAAGTTCCAGCTTCTGAAAACAGGAAGTAGACCACTTTGGTCAAAAGGTAGAGTCCATGAATCAAAGTAATATACAATAATACTAGAAAGGTAGACTGAAGCCAAACAGTGAAGAGCTTTAAATGCAAGCCAAGCACTTTGCGTTTTAAGCTAGAAGAAGCAGGGAGCCACAGCAGGTTCTTAAACAGGGGAGTAACCCACTTAGATGTACACTTCCCAAAATTATTTTGGCAGGTGCCTGGAGCATGAACTTTAACAGACAAGGAGACTAATTAGAAGGCTATTGTAATTAAACTAGGCACTAATATAATGCCAAGCCAAAGGTAAACGTTTCCAAGGGCTCAAGTAACTGCTATTCTTCCTTCTACTCCTAAAAGATAAAAATAGTTTTAGTCTCACACATACTCTCTTTTCCTCCGAAATTCTTTCTGTCTCTCATCTGTGTAGGTCTTTCTCTCTGCCTCTGTTTCTCTCTGTCTCTCTCTGACTGTCTCTGTCTGTCTGTTTCTCTCCCCCTCCTTCTCTGTCTCTGTCTCTCTCTCTTTCTCTGTCTCTGTCTCTCTGTCTCTCTCTCTGTCTCTCTCTCTCTCTCTCACACACACACACACACACACACACACACACCACACACACACACACACACACACACACACACACACACCCCTATACCACACTTTGTCTCCACAGGAGTCAAGGTCAGTGTAGACAGATAACCTTCTGATCCTAAAGCTCTAAGCATTTCCATCTCCCCTTTCCTTATAGGGCACTACAAATGATAGTTGACATTTTTAGGTTCATAAAATAAAGTACAAAGAGCCCTTAATAGACTAATCCAGCCTTGAATGGGTTAGATCAAAGCAGAGAACTGAACCCCATTCCTCTTTCTTAATCATCCCCATCATCTACTCCTCTTTCATCACGATCATTATTTAGCAATAAGTAATAAGGCTGTGCTTTTATTGTTGTTGTTGTTGGTAAATGTTGGTAAAGACCTCCACAGAAATTCTTTAGCCTCCCACAATAATCTATTGCAAAGCCTTTAATCACCCTCACGGTTGGGAAGTTCTTTTGGATACCTAACAGAGTTCTTGTGGGGGGTCTGGAGGCAGGGGCACTGGACCACAAGCAAGTGGGAAATGAAAGAAGAAAACGGCAGCCTTTGCATTGAAAGGGCAGTAGCCTGACCCAGTGCCAGAGGCGTGGGAAGGGAAGAACCATGGCATCAGAAGCAGAGAACTGCAGGCTGGCACATTGTACCCCAGATCCTTTAATTAACATGCTTTTACAATTACAGTCCTGATCCACTCCCTCAGAATCCCATCCCCTCCTGATTCCTTCCTGCTATTTGTTGCTTGTTTCTCTTTGAAACATGACACAGATGCGCCCCTGGAAACACGGCCTCTCTTCTATCGGCCTCAGTGGGATAGAGGCAGGAAGATCACAGAACTTGGGGCCTCTGCCTGACATCTGTCTCCTCACTTCCTGACTCCTCCCTTAGGGACTAGCTCATAATCTGCAGGGCTGTGGGGGTGAGGGTGGGGGTGGGGGAGACTGAGGCCTATAGTATTCGCAGCTGGGAGAATCCTTAGAGATCATCTAAACCACCCCCTCTCATTTGACTGATGAGAAAGCTGAGGACCCAGAGGAGTAACATGACTTTTTCAAGGTCACAAAAGGAAGCAGGTAGCAGAGGGTGGGGCAAACCCAAGTTTCTGATCCCCAGAGCCAGGGTTCTTTCTGCTATACCAAGCTACCATTCAGGATAAAATGTATAATCCTTATCCCAGGAGTGAATCAAGGCAGAGTTCACTTCTCACATTGGGGCTGCTAGAATAGAATAGCATAGCCGCAAAAAGTGATGGTTAACCTTTATAGAATGCCTACTATGTGCCAGGACTTTACAATTGTTATCTCATTTATTCCTCGAAACAACCCTGGGAGGTAGGTGCTCTTAGTATCCCCATTTTATAGTTAAGGAAACTGAGGCAAACTGAGGTGAATTGATTTGCCCAGGGTCACACAGCTAATAAATGCCTGAGGCTGAACTTGAACTCAGGTCCTCCTGACTCCAGGTCCAAGTCACCAGTTGTGATCTACTCCAGGGAATTCACAGCATCATAAAATCTCAGCATTGGAAAGGACCTAAGGGGTCACCTCATTCAATATCCCTACCTGATTTAAGAATAACTTATTGGACATCCCTGACAAATGATCATTTACCTGAAGACGTCTGATGATGGGGAACTCTACCTCCATAGGCAGCCCGCTCTACGTTAGGACAGCAATAATTGTTAGACGGGTTTTGTTTCCCTGACATTAGGACTAAATCTGCTTCTTTGCAACTTCTACCCACCACTCTTCCTTCTGGCCTCTGGGACCACTGTCTTCATTTTTAAAAGGTTGTGATGCCTTTCCCCCCAACCCCCACACACAATTCTTCTCTTTTTCAGGTTAAAAATTATCAACTCTTTCAACCAATATTTGTACGGCACAGTTTTGATCCCCATTCCCCCTTGGTTGACGTTCTCTGGGTACAACCTATTTAGAGACTTAACATAGCAATGTGGATACCTCCTCAATTCAGGCTGCTAAAATTAAGGACAGCAACTTTGCCCCTCCCGACCTTAAAGATCTTATGTTCTCTTGACACGTCCTCCATCTTCCCTTTTTCCTCTTAGGGAAGGGATGTCAATAGAACTAAGGAGCTTGTTGAGACACATGAACGACAGCCACCCAAGCTCAAAGTTGAGGGCGCCATATTCCCCTGGTGGAGTCATAAGTTACCTTTGTTCTCAGTCAATAAATCAACAAACGTTTGTCAAGCATCTACCCTGTGCCAGACCCTATGCTCAGTGCTGGGGTGTTTGAGGACAAATATGAAGAAGTTACTGCCCTTGAGGAGCTTACATTCGACTAGAAGAAACAAGATATACACATACCAGTATATGCAAGTAAAAACAAGGCATCTTGTTCAGGGCTTGTGGGGAGTGGGCAGGAAGAGAGCTAGGAATTGGGGAAACCAAACTGTCAACGAAACAGTTATAAGCTTCATTCAATCTTCTGTATGCAATCTGAGGCAGAGCCAAGATGAATACTTTTCTGTTCTTTGCCATAGGCCTCCCTAGCTTGTGAGTAAGGTGTGCCTGTGTACCCCAAAGAAGAAGCATTCCCATTGGCTTTTCCTCTCTTTCTCAGGCAAGGACCAATGGTAATTGGTCCTCAGGGAGTGCCAAGCACACCAGACTGTTTGCACAGTCCTTCCTTTTATGAATCCAAAAGTGTCTTTGTCGTAGCTCACCATGGTGACTCTCCAAAGTCTACATTCCAAGGTTGTCCGTGCCTGTGGGTCAATGAGTCAATGAGCATTTATTAAGCACCTATGTTCCAGACCCTGTACACCCTATAGGTAGAGATTCTCAGACTTTTTTCATGGGTACTCTTTCATTTCCCAGAAATCTCATTGCCTAGAACAGGGGTAGGGAACCTGCAACCTTGAGGCCACATCTGATTTGTTCTGTGAAGTTTGGATTCAGTCAAAGGACCACACTTGAGGACCTAGAGGGCCACATGTGGACTCGAGGCCGCAGGTTCCCCACCCCTGGCCTAGAACATTCTAGAGCAGGAAGTCTCCTCCTCTCTACTGGTAATTCTACCAAATCTAAGAGAGGGAATGGGTGGTTCAACCCCAGGAAATATCTTGGAGGTAAGTCTTGAATAAAGTTAGGAAAAGTAGAGAAATTCTGTTTAGGTAAGAAGGCATTCCAGGTGGGTTGCCAGGGTTCTCCTGGCCCAATTTTCTCCAAGTTCATGAAGAAAAGCTTCCTGTTCTGCTGACAGCCTCTAGGTAGTGTGAAGAATGAAAAGGCTCCTAAACAGAAGTATGGCTCTGAGAGAAGCTGAGCCATGAGCAAGAAACAGAGAGCAAATGTGAGAATCTGGACCAAGAATAAATGGAAGATGGGGTCAATTACGTGCTGGGGAGGGGAGGGGGAATGTCGGCTGTGGGGAGGCCTCAGAGCCGACTAGTGGAAGTTTGGCTCTGAAATGAGTCTGAACCACTCACTCCAGGCTTCTGACAGGACGCCAGCTGGCTACCAATGGTTAAGTTCTGGGAGAATCCCAACATAGCGCTGGAGGTGGTTCTCCTTGAAGGAGAAATGTGAAGTTGTGCTCCCCTTCCCAGGCCAGCTAACACCTGTTCCTCGTTGGGTAACATCGACCTCCATCACCCACATGGGCCTAAGGGAAACAGGGAGGCAGCAGGAAGGTACTCATTCTTCTAGGCCCCAGTCCTGCACGCCTTCCCCAGGGCAAACCTAATTAAGAGACCTCCCTTATTCCTCCCTTCCTCCCTCCTCCCAAGGGCTCCACTGACAATTTAGCCACAGGAGAGGACAATGGGCCCGGGGCCCAAAATGACTTTTCCCGAGCATCCAGTTCAGACCTTAACAGGGAATTCAAACCAGACAAAGAAAATTCAAGTTTAATTAGAGGCATTAAAGACTCCAGTCTCTAGGGCTAATTCCAGACATTGCTAGCTAGCCTCCTTCAAGAGGTGTCATTTCCTCTGGGAAGCCTTTTCTAA